ATCTGCACAAATATAATTTTTGTTAGATTGACTTGTTGGGGCCTTTGTTCCCTCCCCACCCCCTAAATGTATACTTTATTTTAAGCACAAAAATCATACGTCAAGAATTTTTAGAAATTATGGAGAGTCGAAGAAGATTGGCGGCGATCGCCGATAATATTATACAATCGATTACACTCTGTATAAGTACCCTTTTATTATAAATAAACAAAATCTCAGATATATATAATATATATTATATATTATATTATATATTATATATAAGTAACTCAGTAGGCATTAAGTTGGTTTTTTATATGTAATTTTGCTAATACCGCAAAGTGAATTATTAATAACTTATAAATTTCTCAAATGCACGCATTCGTTAAGTCAACTGAACATTTTATATTTTCTACCACACAATTATAGTGTCCTAACTACCATACAATATAAAGCCTTGTACCATAAAGTTTACTGTTTAGGATCATAGACGTCTACCACCTTTGACTTCTACAAGATGTATCTATTAGTATCTACACTTTTCGGATGACATATGATAACTCTTACGACTTGTACAAGCACACTTTAGCTAATATAATATTATAACTCATCCAATATTAATTTCACTAATTGAAAAATATATTTTATGAAATTTATTGAAACTATCAAATCTGTAATAATAATATGCAATATGTAATTATTATAATGAAACATTATTATGAATATAATAAATAATAAAAAAAAAAAAAGCTTAGGAAGTGAATTTTGTGTTATAGATCAATATACTGATAAGGTACCTATATAATATATATACTTATTTTCTAAGCTATCTAATAAGTTAGTAGTAGTAGTTGAAAATATTGAAAAGAAACAAATTATTTTTGTTTTGATTAGCTATTGTGAATGATGCTGCGCATATTCACAAATCAAGTGTCGCATTAAAATAATGGTCAGCGATATAATTCAGAAATAATTGCGTTTTCTATTTTGGCCTACTACCTGCTAATATATCTATATATACAATATACATTATACAATATACCTATACTTTGACGTTTCAAAATTACGTAAACGTGGTGCGTAGGTTTATTGTTATTTATTATCTATACTGACTATACTATAACAACTAATAAGTAATAACCAATAAGTAATAATATAATATGATAATATTTATTTGATTTTTTTGAAAGTACCTATATACAAAAGAAAGAAACGTCCTTATAGTAGCGCATCTAGTACAGTATATACAATTTAAGCCAATATCCAAACAGACAATTTCAATCTGAAATTGAAAATTATAATATAAAACATGTATTATACACATAGATATTTTTATCTATGCAATAATACTAAGTGATGAACTAAAAAACCAAAAAATAAAGGAAAATCCAATTTTAGTTTCCAAAACTTCGAAGTGATATATATTATAGTATAGGTACCTTCATATATTATCTATGTATTCACCCAGTCCCCGATGTCAATAAAAATATAGGATAATATAGAAGAAAATATAAAGTTAAATACCTATTAAATAGAAGATTTAAAATTAGACAATTTATAGATAACAAATGTATATAAATTAAAAATTAAAAATTATATTTCAGTCTGTTTTTAGTCGTTATTTTTTATCGGACTGTTCTGGCTCAGCAAATAAATGCTTTTTGTGAGCACAAAACAGGGACTAGAACCTTGTTGATTTTCACGGTTCCGGTTCCCAGAAAAACTAAAATTTAGGTTTCGCTTTCTTTCGGTTCTGAAAAAATAAAAAAGTATTACCTGTTTTGGTTTCGGTATTAAAATTAATTTAAATAAGAGTTTCGGTTCCCAATTTTCAAAGGGTTCCAGTTCCAAAACCAGTTCTTTTCAGTAAGGTTCCAATCTCTTGCACAAAATGCCCGAGTTTGGGTAGACAGACACAGTGAAGTAGCCTATTTTTTATAGATGAGTAGTTGAATACCATTTGCATTTTGTTTTTATTATTTAATAATAAAATAATTACATACGTACTAACAGGTAACTTAGTAAGTACCTAATACTTAGTACCTATACTCAATTCGAGCTATGGAATACTTTTAAATTATAATTACAATAATAATGAATCGATAGGAAGGCAATATTATACTTGTAAAACGGCTAACGTCGTTATCAATTTTCGACTATAGTGATTATACGCAGAAAACCCCCAAAAATGCATTAGAAGCTGTAACTCACTAATTTTAACATAGGTAAATATGTTTTTGTGGTGGATATAGGTACGCGTTTTTTTTCCTTCTTATGCCTTTTTCCTTTAAAATACTCCAACATCCAAATACTTGCTGCGCTGCAACGACCAGTGAAAGATAATTGTCGACTTTTATAAAAAGACCTACCTCAGAAATACTAATGGAGAAAACCGATTAAATATTGTTTAGCATTGCCAAATATCCACAGAGATAATAATTTAATATGAACGGATTTCGCCGCGGTGCCGCTGATAATATGTACTTGTGTTATTTGCGTGATGGATTTCATAAATCCACGCATATGATTACAGATACCTACGTGGCATAGTTAACGATAATTTAACTATCACGGCATATTTCGACACTGAAATATACCACGTGTAGTGTTAAAACCGTACATTGATTATGGTATATTATGGTATAAGTATACCCTCGTCCTGTTGGTCAGGTGTATAATGTGTTGCGACCGTCCAATTTTTTATGCAATTCAACATTTAATTAATGTATTTTTTAACGGCGTTACAGTAAAATGATAAATCACACTGGTGAAAAAATAAATATAATAATGATGTGATAAAAAGGATATTATACATTCGCGAGTGTGTTACGTGTGCGGATACCTTAGTTATCGTTGTGTAGGTACGTACCTAAACTATACTTGTATATAATATTACAAGTGTATGCTGTATGTTCGAGTAAGGTAAATATAAGTATATAATAACACACTCACTGTGAACACGTCAACTTATTGGTTTCTATATTATATTATATTCATATAATAATATTATATTATGTTCAGTACGTTACTTGTGTGCATCCAAAACGTGAAATATAACAACCAATAACTAATGTTAAGCCGTATTTTACCGTCCAACCGGTACGTTTTCGAATTCACATATAGGTATTACTCTATTACGGTAAATACGCGTCTAAACAACACGTCATGATAAATATAACGATCACATGCGGCAATAACAATATATAGACATACATTATATTGTATAATAGGTGCTGCACGTAGACAATTTAAATATATTGTCAATTAAGCAACACACGTAAACATAACTTATGGAGTAAAGACATCGTTACTACTAACCAATAACCATAGGTCTATAGGCGAGTCACGTGTCCGCGGTGCTGGAGTGCTGCAAAATGTTCCTTACATCATCGACCTATAATAGGCGTCGACGATAAGCTAGCGCCCTGAAATCCGAATCCAAAAAAATGGACTAGTCGGCGCAAAGTGATAAATTATATTTTACTATTTTCGCCGGCAAGATATTTATTCGATTGAAAAAATTCTGCAAAAAGCTTATTTCACGAACCTATGCTATTAACACGTTGGACTCTATGATACCCAAACTTTTTCCTCACCACCACGATTTTCTTCATAGGTTTACTAAAATACAGTTTTGGCAATTTAAACAAATATTGATTAAAAAAAAAACAAATTATGATATTTTTGCAAACTTGGAACACATATTGAAAGTGGCAACACTATAGATTTTAAATCGGACGAGAAAATACTGATTCTTGAGACCCAGAAAGGGGTATCAGCTGAAAATTATTCTAGTGAGACCCAAAAATGGGTCTCAGAAACCAACTCATGGTAATATGTTGAGACTCAGAAATGGGTCTAATGGCGGTTAGCCATAATTCGTGAAAAACACCGTGGCGCTCAACGTGTTAACTGCAATCCGACTGTTACTATTGTAGAAGACGTGTAACTGTGTAAGTAAATAATATAGGTACTCAAAATGATATTATATTGGTTACCGTGACGACTGACGGCAAAAGTCTCCGCTGACGGACAAGTGCAGGACAGCAACCGCGGTAAGTAGGGTCCTAGCGGTTCGATTTGCAACGCATTTTATACATTTTGATTATAATAATATTTTATTAGTAAGGTCATTTAAAAGTCTTGGGCATGATCTACGCAGTTTTAGATTGCATTTATAAAAACCATTTACCATCGTTTACCTATTTATTATTTTAGTATTAAAAAACGTTCAACCGAAGTAAACTTGTCTATGGCGACGGGAGTTCAAAAGTAGTAATAATTGATCGATTTGTATGTTTATTTCTTACGTGTAAAACATACAATAAATTACCTTTCGATTTAGAAATTTAGCTAGTATACCTCCCAGGTGTATGTAGTGTAGTTACTGTAAGGTCAAATTGCACTCGGGGTTCGGGACAGAAAAGGTTATTGAGGTTAGAAGGTTTAGAATGTTAATGTTCAAATATTACACTCAATCCGATGATTACATAAAACCATTGGTTATAAATTTATAAATACTATAGATCGCTCACAGGTTATAAGGTAGACCGCCTAGTCAGTTTCTGGCATTTAATATAATATTATGTATACAATATACATATTATATTATGATGCATGAGTACACCAAATCTTGTTATCATTCTATACTTTTTGAAAATTTGAATATTGCTGTCACATTTTCATATATGCATTTTCATATCCGAATTTTACTTAATTCAACACAGTGAACACACCTGTACACACGCAATTGTCAACCAAAATAAATATTTTTATGCAGTGGTGTATTGGAGGGTATACGGCGTATACCCAAAACGTATTTGTCGATCTGAGCGTATAGCTTTTAAAATATACACAATACGCAGGTATACGCCCGTATAGGAGCGTATACTGATAAAATATGCAATATTGATAATATATTTTTAATTTTATTATTGAATATTTTTGTTGATATCACAACTTAATCGAGAATATTTTTTGTATACAATATGGCATTATTACCACGATCACGGTCTTAGAAGATGACCGTGACCACGATTATAGATAAACGATTATTTATAAATAAAACTATGCGGTATGATTACAACTGCCTACTGGTTTTGTTGCACTGCCTAAACCATCGTTTAGAACTGGCAGTTCATGACTCAATAAAAGACATAGGTGCTTTAAACCACTTTAAATCTTTCATTGATTCTTTATACGTCTTATACAACGCTTCTCCTAAGAATCAAAATGAACTCAGAAATGTGTGTAATGAATTAGATATTTTATTTTTGAAACTGGGTAGAGTTCTTGATGTCCGTTGGGTGGCCAGTAGCTGGAGGGCCATTAATGCTGTATGGAAAACATTTCCAGCTTTGTGTGATCATTTTTGTAATGCTGCAAATGATTCAACTAAAGATTCTAAAACTAGAAACAAATATCTTGGCCTAAAAAAAAGATTGGCAAGTCCAGAATTTGTATCAGACCTGGGTTTGATGTGTGATTGTCTACAAGAACTATCTATACTATCTAATCAATTACAAGAACGTACAACTACACTTATTCAAGGCCAAAAGCACATTAAAAGAACGATAAGGATTATAGAATCATTTAAAGTTACTCCGTGAGAACATATGTCTGAAGTTTCTAAACTTAAAGAAGTTATGGTATTTAAAAATATTCAACTTTCAACAAACACTAAATTAATTACTATTAATCCAAAACAGTTTAAAGTCCAAGAAGAAAAAATAAGTTTGTGGAAAATATTATAGTAACTACTAACTAGTAATAAATTATTTAAAGTTGTATTTGTTATAAATTTTTTATTAATAAATTAAGTTACCAATCAGCTGTTAATATTTGTCTAGAATTCGCTACTTTTTAGATATATGATTAATTTGTGAAAGACATCACCATTTTAAAATCCAAAATTTTATTAATAAATAAAATACAATTTTATCTATTGAGTGAGTATCTGAATAATAGTTAAAAGTATATTAACAATTAACATACAAACTGAAATACTGTGTATAAAAATAGAAAAAGCGAAGATTATAGTACAAATTGTTTAATGTAGATTGTAATGTATTATGTAAGTAATATTTCGAGCGTAGCGAGAAAATTTTTTTTTTTGTAATAAAATATAGCTTAAAGTGCGTATACCCAAAAATTTGTTCACCAATACACCACTGTTTTTATGATCTAAGGAGTTCTATAGAGTGATTCGATCGAATGCAATTAGAACATTTTGATTTTGGTAAGTAGTGCAGTTCTCGTCTTGTGGTAATAGGATAACATTTGTCAGTTTCTTGGATGGTAATGATGGGCGGGTATCTATTTAATAATATTTCACCACATCTGCCTGCAGTATAAAACAGTTTTGAAACTGCATTGAAGTCTGATGGTATTTTTTGTCAATAATTAATCGTGTTTATCTATGAAAAAATCTAAACAATAATCAATGAGTGAATACCTAAGTTTTTTGTAGGAAGGAAAATTATGTCGATAGGGTGGTGGGGGAGACTTATAAGCTATATTATATTGACTGAACTGCAGTGAATACTTTTTTTTAAAAACAGAAAAACCGTGCATCAATCATCACGATGCCACGAGAAACATAATAGGTACTATGTTCTAGCAAAACGCACTAACGTAAACGTCATCATAACGTCGACAGACACGTTTTCAGAACGGTTGTTGAAGATGACACAGACGAATAAAATAGTAGACGCTTATTAAATTTGTATTTTCAATACTTGGACTCACGTCATATTTATTGTTACGTGTGCGTATATGGGCTTTCTACGGCTCGGAAAAGTATATAAGCCCAATTTACTGCCGGAATCTATCTTCTTAAACACACACACACACACACACACACACACACACACACACACGCGTACCTACCTATATAATATTACATATTATTATTATTATTATTATTATTATTATAGTAAATGTACACGCATCGCGGTTATATTGTTATATAACATCATTTGGCTCTTATATTATTTATGTGATGTATACGCGCGACTGTCTGCATATTATACGACTCGCAACTTTTATTGAACGTATCTCTTCGGGCTCTGAAATCTCACGCCATTCGCCTCTATATGATAATAATAATATTATAATATGTAATATATGACTCTGTGGCGACTATACAGCAGCGTTGTATAGGTAGGTATATTATATGGCAATGGCGGTGTAAAATATTATGCTGAATAATAATATTAAGTTTGACGGACAACCGCGACGATACGATTTCTGGTCGGACAACAGATCGGCGGCGAGCGGATATCGGCGCGCATAATATTATAACTATATTTTATTGTAATCTTGTAGATAATACGATTATAGTAATAATAATAATAATAATTATTATTATTATTGCACACACACACGATGGGAATGATAACGCGCGTAACCTCCTCCCCACGGGCGACGGCTTATATTATATCACGTCCCCGACTTGGTTGTCGTGAGTATTAATATTATACCTATGACATGTGCACGCGCGATATTACCAGACGACATTACGTACCTTTATACAGATAGGTATAATAGTCGTATAGATAGATAAATAGATGTGAATATATATATATATATGTGTATGTGTGTGTGTGTGTTGGCTGTTGTTAGGTAGTATTATTATTTCGGCTTGATTATAATATTATATACACATAATATTATACACGCGGCACCATTGTATGCAAATAATATAATATAATAAACGAAAATTTCAAATGAGACCGAATCCGACGGTTTTTGTTTCGTGGTGTACAGGGTGATCTTTTTTTAACGCACTCGAGACGAGTCTTATAGCAGAAAATTATTATTTTTTTAATACATTTTTAAAATGTTGATATATATACAATGGTATAATAGTTTATAACAATACGCATCGATAGTACCTAGGTGTAGATATATTATCATATCATATTATATTATATTATATTATATTATCATATCATATTATATTATATTATATTATATTATCATATCATATTATTCATATTATTAATACATTTATAAACGTTTAGACATAATTTAGAATTCAGATGAGTCAACAGCGGTCCCTAAGTGATACGTATAGACATTATAGCTATAAGTAGTTATCATTACAAATTATAGAACGTAACTTATAAATTATAACTAAACACTAAATACTTACAAAAATATAATAATGTAGGTACTTAGGTACTCTTTATAAATGAAACGCAGTTTGAATCATTTTATTTGTATAAAATCAAAAATGTTCAAAAAAATATCACTTTGGAACATGCAGTAATAAAAAAAGCGGGTAAGTGGCTGTCGCTCTGCTGTACAGTAGGTTACAAGTGGGTCATTGTATTAAACTTGAATTCAATGATATAATATCATTGTATTAGAAAAACGATTGTGAGTGGAGACGGTTTGTCAGTCTGGGTAGTGTTATTATTTATTATATCATGTAAGTTGAATTAATATTATAATTTTATTTTTTTTATTCGTTTCTATGGTGATAAACAAAGGGTTAGCAATTAAAATCCCATTATTAGTAGCTTTTCGTAATTTTTTGGTGGTTTTTCCAGTGGCATTAAATAACTATTGATAAAATCGAAAAATGACCTCTTTAAACTTTAAAGTTGAAAGTACCATCTTGATCCAATTTGCTAAAAGATAAGGTACTATAATGTAGAAATCGAAGCATTCCTTCGAGTAAAAATTTTGTATACAGGATATAAAAAAAATAAATAAATAAAAATAAACACCATTGTAAAACCACAAGCTTTCTCGCTCCACTCAGAATCTAAAATATATAATTTAAATTTAAATTTATGCATCTACATTTTTTTAAAAACAAAAACATGCCTTATTATATTATAACGTTTAAAATAAAATCACCCTGTATATCATTTAAAAAAGTTAGACTGTGTGTTGAAGCAAGTTCGTCTGTGTACGGCAGGTACCTACGTCTTTCCGCTAACGCTGGTCGTAAGACGAACAACATGTCTATACGTATATTATTATGTGTATATAAGCTTAGGTATACATTATGTATATATATGTTATATGTAAAGGTATGCGTATACAAGAGACCGATTGTGTTACAGATTTGTTTTTCTATTATTATTATTATTATTATTATTATTATAATCTTCGTTAAAATATACGCGAGGTTGTTGTTCGCCGCCGCCAACACAACGTTAAACAAAACAAAAAACCGATCGTAATCGCATTTCACGATTAGCATCATCTGTCTGTGTGTATACACAATAATAATAGTGATAATAATATTTATAATATTATAATAGTAGGTCATTGTACGTCATTATACAACACCACAACAGCAACAACAACAAAAAGCACGATAATTGCGTCACATTTTCGCGGATGTGTATATTATTATATTTTCAATGGAACTAACTTGTACCTACACACACACACACACACACACACACTGGCCATTGATTATAATACGAAACAAAGACGGCGACGATATTATAATATTTGAATATTGCTGCAGTGTGTGTTATAAATCATTATTATAATAGATACTTATATTATATTGGCTGGCTTATCGACGATGCTGCAGGCATTTATTATTTGGCCGTAAAACTTAAATAATTACACTAAATTAGAAATCAAAAGTTGGTTTTATTATTTTTATTCGACTTTGTACTACACTATAATATTTACGTACATGAATGGTGTAGTAAAATAAAATTAACGAAGAAGCAAGAGCGAAGTAGGGCGACATTTGTAGTAGAGAAAAATAGACTAAAAGGCAAGTGCCGCGTTGGACGCTATTTGTAGTAGAATAAAATAAACGAAGTGGAGGTAAGTCGGGGAAATATGCAGTGGCGGCAAACTATAAAGGGTGTGAATGATTGGAGTGTTGCGCTCATCGTAAATTTTATCTCACTACAGAATATTTTTATTTGAATATCGAAATAATAATTTGTTCTTAATTATATAGTATATGTGTTTTCACTTACCTTGTATTGCCGTGAATAAAAGTGCGTAGACTCTCGTTGGAACTTTGGTTGGAGTACTGTCTCTAATTGGTGTGAGTCGATGCACGTTATTTATACTTTACGATTTACACTACAATATCCTATTGTAATTAAGTATACGTTTCTATATCACACACTGTTGGCTTCTTACGATTATGATGTAATGGAGTTTGTAAAGATATCTTTTGATGGGAGATGAGGATATCATAAAAATAGTTTTTTTTTGTATTGAGTTGTGCTGATACTATGAATTCATGCATATTTTAAGAAATATTCATGAATGAATTTTATTGTTCGTTTTCATTCAATATTTTTTTACAACATTCATTTCAACTTCTTGTATATTTGAGATTTGGACGTTAACGAGTACAGTACTTTCGGTCCAGTGCATAGGTCTGCCCGGTTCCGTACTCGCGACTCAAACTGCAAATATGGTTTGGCGATCCAATGTCTAGTATAGACAGTGAATTGACAAACAGAAATTGAACTGAAATTTATTATTTAATGTTTTTACGACATCCATTTCAACTACCTGTATGTTTGAGATTTGGACGTTTACGAATACAGTACTTTCGGTCCAGTGCACAAGTCTGCCCGGTTCCGTACTCGCGACTCAAACTGCAAACATA